CAAAATTAGTAAGGAATGGAATTTAAGAAAATATACATATATGGACAAGCAATGACAGAGCGGCATGGACTAAGATACAGTAGAATATTATAGAATAGAATGCAGTATATACATATGAGATGAGTAGTGCAAGATATGTAAACATTGTTAAAGTGACTAGTGTTCTATTTCTTAAAGTGGCTAGTGATTTCAATAGGCAGCAGCAGCCTCTAATGTGCTAGTGATGGCTATTTAACAGTCTGATGGCCTTGAGATAGAAGCTGTTTTTCATTCTCTCGGTCCCAGCTTTGATGCACCTGTACTGACCTCGCCTTCTGGATGCTAGCGGGGTGAACAGGCAGTGGCTCGGGTGGTTGATATCCTTAATGATCTTTTTGGCCTTCCTGTGACATCGGGTGTTGTATGTGTCTTGGAGGGCGAGTAGTTTGCCCCCGGTAATGCGTTCGGCAGACAGCACCACCCTCTGGAGAGCCCTGCGGTTGCGGGCGGTGCAGTTGCCGTACCAGGCGGTGATACAGCCCGACAGGATGCTCTCAATTGTGCATCTATAAATGTTTGTGAGGGTTTTAGGTGCCAAGCCAAATTTCTTCAGCCTCCTGAGGTTGAAGAGGCTCTGTTGTGCCTTCTTCACCACACTGTCTGCGTGGGTGGACCATTTCAGTTTGTTGGTGATGTGTACGCCAAGGAACTTGAAGCTTTCCACCTTCTCCACTGCGGGCCCGTCGATGTGGATAGGGGGGTGCACCCTCTGCTGTTTCCTGAAGTCCACGATCATCTCCTTTGTTTTGTTGACGTTGATTTTCCTGGCACCACACTCCCAGAGCCCTCACCTCCTCCCTGTAGGTGGTCTCATCATTGTTGGTAATAGTACGTATAAATGCCCACATTGCAGTTTTCTAAGGCACTGCATCGCAGTGCTAGCTGTGCCACTAGAGATCCTGGTTCGAGAGATCCTGGTCCGGGAGACCCATGGGGCGGCGCACAATTGGCCCAGCACCGACCAGGGTAGGGGAAGGTTTGGCCGGCAGGGATGTTCTTGTCCCATCGCACACTAGCGACTCCTGTGGCGGGCCAGGCGCAGTGCACGCTGACTCGGTCGCCAGGTGTACTGTGTGGCTGGCTTCCGGGTTAAGCGGGCACTGTGTCAAGAAGCAGTGCGGCTTGGTTGGGTTGTGTTTCGGAGGACACATGACTCTCGACCTTCGCCTCTCCCATGTCCGTACGGGAGTTGCAGCGATGGGACAAGACTGTAACTACCAATTAGATACTACGAAATTGGGAAGAGAATTTCGGGTAAAATACTAAAAATAAATACAAAATAAACATCAACCCACAAACCGATGACAGACTTGATGCAAAACAGACAGACTCTCAGGCAAAACAGGGACACAGTCCACGCTAGAGCTGAAGAAACGGAATACTTGGTTTGGTTTTCTAACACGTGAGCTGAGAAGAAAATGCCCCAGGAGCACACAAGCGTCTCAGAGAACCTAACCTTTAGGGTTTTATAACAGCAGAGCCTTCTTACCTTCACACACTGGAATGTGACAGGATGGATACACTGACACACAGAAAAAACACAGTCCCATATCCACCCATTTCAGCTCCACTAAAACTCTCTGAGGCAAATAAAAACCAAAACAAGTTTACCAACATGAGGAAACAATGTCGAGGGCTGTGGTCGAATTGCCCCTACCCTGACCGATAGTCCCCTCACCCTATCACCAACCACCATCCCCTGTCCAATCCCCCTCCAGCAGAGGCGGGACTGCATCTCCTTCACCACCTTTAAATACCCACACCTGTCACTAATCAGTGTGGCAGAGCTGCTAGCAATGGTTGGTTGCATTCCGCAAGGTGATTGCAAGCGGGAAGATGGCAGAAGTGGATGTTGAGTTCGAATCAAGCAGCGCGTCAAGCAAATTTGGTGAAGACGAATGTTCTGAATGTACAACAGAAGTATCGAAAACTGGAACAGAAAGAACATTGTCTAAAATTGGAGTGGAGGATACATGTGTAAATGATAATGAATCGCTTCTTGTTGGGATGCGTTTGTTGAGTAAGGATGCATATGTGGGAAACCCGTTTGAGGTGTCGAAAATTGTGAAGTATGTGCTTGGAAAGGTGTAGTCTGTCAGAGTGACCAGGAGTGGTCTTATTTTGATTAATTGTATTTCTGAAGAGCAGAGGAAGATTGCAGTGGGCCTCAAAAGAATCCGAACAACAGAAGTTTGGTGTTTTGAACTTCGTAGTAGAACACCCGTCAAAGGAGTCATTTCAAGGGTGATGACGGATCTTCAGGTTGACCCGCTGGGTGAATAGGAAATAATAAGAAAGTATGTCAGTCCTGTTGTTTTTTGATAAAGATACCTATGCATGTGAAGCTTGGTTATGTAAGAAACGCCGTAAGAGCTTTTGTCCCCAAACCACTGCAGTGTAAGAATTGTAATGACATTTTGCCATGTTTCAAGTGTGTGCAGACGAACAGAGTATACTGAAGAACGGTGTGTAGAAGGACAACGGTGTTGCAATTGTGGTGGGGATGATGATACTGAGTTCCTGGAGTGCCCTGTAAGGGTGAAGGAGATTGAGGTGGCAAAAGTTAGAGCGGTCAATCGAAGCTCCTATGCGGAGGCGATTTAAAATAATTGAGAAAACAAGTGATGCTAGTGAAGACATGGTAGTGTACACCACAGCTTGCAGTAAAGGTTCCCCTTGAGCCTGTGTAGGGATCAGATCTGGAAGACCTGCCCTCCCAGGTTCCCCTTGAGCCTGTGTAGGGATCAGATCTGGAAGACCTGCCCTCCCAGGTTCCCCTTGAGCCTGTGTAGGGATCAGATCTGGAAGACCTGCCCTCCCAGGTTCCCCTTGAGCCTGTGTAGGGATCAGATCTGGAAGACCTGCCCTCCCAGGTTCCCCTTGAGCCTGTGTAGGGATCAGATCTGGAAGACCTGCCCTCCCAGGTTCCCCTTGAGCCTGTGTAGGGATCAGATCTGGAAGACCTGCCCTCCCAGGTTCCCCTTGAGCCTGTGTAGGGATCAGATCTGGAAGACCTGCCCTCCCAGGTTCCCCTTGAGCCTGTGTAGGGATCAGATCTGGAAGACCTGCCCTCCCAGGTTCCCCTTGAGCCTGTGTAGGGATCAGATCTGGAAGACCTGCCCTCCCAGGTTCCCCTTGAGCCTGAGTAGGGATCAGATCTGTTTGATATATTTTATGTATTTTTACATTATTTTTTGGTAGTTTTTTGGTAGTTCCGTTTTTGGGAATAGTAGGTGGTACCTGAAGACAAGTACGGTTATGAAGACAGTTATGGGTACAGATCTACATTGCTACAATCTATGCCTGTAATGTCAACTGAAGTTCTAAAACTGTCTTTAGAGGTGCAAAACACTAAAAACCAGAAACCATCAAATACATTTCTATGAATTTCTATTGAACTTGAGTCAGTGTTTCTTATCATACTGATATTTTCATAAATGTCATTAAAATACAAAATGATAAATGTAAATCTACTTAGCTAAAGAGTATGCCAGGGTGACATCTGACAATAGCAGAAATCTGTGCCAAATGTTACAACAAAGTAAATAAGATACATTTTTCTATTTTCTTTGCTCCATCCCTCTATTTCAGCCGCACATCCCTCTCTGCCTTCCTTCCATCCCTCCACTTCGCTTCTCTCTCCAGACAGCCAGCGGATTCTCCATCTGAGACAGAGCAGTGCCCCAAGAGAGAGGGAGGGAGCGGATTGGTGCGACTAGATGCCTCAGGTCGGAGGTCAGACCTGCATGCGCCAGGGTTCTTTGTGTTCACCTAACCCCCAAACACGCTAACACACTCCCCCTCAAACTGTTGGTCTGTCCTGACACCCCCACACACGCTCATTACTGAGTCGATCAGCAGAGACAGGGTTCAGAACCCAAGGGACTGGGCCATGATCACAAAAATTGTCATGCTTACCCCCCTCCGTCATCGTTAACCCTCCCTCCCTCCCTCCCTCCCTCACTAGAACACTTGCCCCACGATCCCCCACTCCTATCTTTCACTCTCTCTCCATCCTCCTTTAATCTGGGACAGATGATTCCCTGCATGTGTGGCAGGAGTCAAGGTGCTGCTGTAAGCAACACAGTGGTGGCCCCATGCGTAAGGGCACTTAACCAAATCATGAATTATGAATCATAAAGAAATGAATAATAGATCAGTGATAATGTATTTGTCCTGAAGCTGTGTAACCAGGGCTGACACTCCACTGTGAACACCACTGAAGCTGTGTAACCAGGGCTGACGCTCCACTGTGAACACCACTGAAGCTGTGTAACCAGGGCTGACACGCCACTGTGAACACCACTGAAGCTGTGTAACCAGGGCTGACGCTCCACTGTGAACACCACTGAAGCTGTGTAACCAGGGCTGAAGCTCCACCGTGAACACCACTGAAGCTGTGTAACCAGGGCTGACGCTCCACTGTGAACACCACTGAAGCTGTGTAACCAGGGCTGACGCTCCACTGTGAACACCACTGAATCAGCAGTGACCACAGTATGGACAAGTTTGGATTGGATACTTGTTTTAAGGCTATTAGTTCAGGGAGCTTCATCAGTTGTTCATCATCTCTGCAGCACTGGTACTTCTCTAAGCTGTTGGACGTACAGTAGAATCCCAGTGGAGTGCGTGTACACCATCAGCTCTGTTTGCTGACCTGAATGAAAGCTTTAGCGTTAGGGATGAATTGCTGTTGTGAAGATTATTCTCATCACTCGTGTCAATATTATCGCTTAAATCCACAGATGACACTGTCAAAGCACGCAAGCTTACAAATACTGTAACAGGAAGTAAGAAATGGGTGCATACACTATCCTGAGAATGACTGACTAGAAGAAAGTACAATGCAATAAAGAAAGAAAGAAAACTAGGTCACCCTATGCAGCAGACAGCCCCATTGCACAGTAGAGGGGAGGGGTTGTTCACAGGAAGCAGGGGTTGTTCACAGGAAGGCCATGGAGTCAGTCCTCCTGAGCCAGAAGAGAGAGAAAGGTCAGACTGGAGAGATAGGACTGGAGAGATAGGACTGGAGAGATAGGACTGCAGAGATAGGACTGCAGAGACAGGCCTGGAGAAATAGGACTGCAGAGATAGGGCTGCACGGATAGGACTGCAGAGATAGGACTGCAGAGATAGGACTGCAGAGACAGGACTGGAGAGATAGGACTGGTGAGATAGGACTGCAGAGATAGGACTGCAGAGATAGGACTGCAGAGACAGGACTGGAGAGATAGGACTGCAGAGATAGGACTGGAGAGATAGGACTGCAGAGATAGGACTGCAGAGACAGGACTGCAGTGATAGGACTGGAGAGATAGGACTGGAGAGATAGGACTGCAGAGACAGGACTGCAGAGACAGGACTGCAGTGATAGGACTGGAGAGATAGGACTGGAGAGATAGGACTGCAGAGACAGGACTGCAGAGATAGGACTGGAGAGATAGGACTGCAGAGACAGGACTGGAGAGACAGGACTGGAGAGATAGGACTGGAGAGATAGGACTGCAGAGATAGGGCTGCACAGATATGACTGCAGAGATAGGACTGCAGAGATAGGACTGCAGAGACAGGACTGGAGAGATAGGACTGGAGAGATAGGACTGCAGAGATAGGACTGCAGAGACAGGACTGGAGAGATAGGACTGCAGAGATAGGGCTGCACAGATAGGACTGCAGAGATAGGACTGCAGAGATAGGACTGGAGAGATAGGACTGCAGAGATAGGACTGCAGAGACAGGACTGCAGAGATAGGACTGCAGTGATAGGACTGGAGAGATAGGACTGGAGAGATAGGACTGCAGAGATAGGACTGCAGAGACAGGACTGCAGAGATAGGACTGCAGAGATAGAACTGCAGAGACTGCAGAGATAGTACTGCAGAGATAGGACTGCAGTGATAGGACTGGAGAGATAGGACTGCATGTGTTAGAGGAAGCAGATGGTTTACCAGGCACAGGCAGGGGTGAGATAGGAGAGAGGGAGTTAGTTATTTGAATCAGCTGTGTAGAGCTAGGGTAAAAACCAAAACATGCACCCAGAGGGGCCCAGGACCGAGTTGGGGAAACCTGGGATCATCAACTAGATTCATCCGCGGGCTGATTTTTCCTTGAGCGGATGGTCAGGGGGCCGGAACATAATTACAAATAATTTTTAGACCGCAAATTGACTGCCAAACTGATATAATATTTAACTAAAACATAAACATTTCAACCCTTGCTTACATTTAATAATAATAATAATTGATTGGAATAGCGCTTTTCTACCAACTGAGATACTCAAAGCGCTTTACATAGTAGAAGGAAACTCACCTCATCCACCACCAATGTGTAGCAGCCACCTAGGTAATGTACGGCGACCTTTTCTGTGCCAGAATGCTCACCACACATTAGCTGAGGAGTGATATATGCCAATTAGGAATGAGGGGGATAATTAGGTAGCCATGATGTAATGTTGCCATGACACCGGGGTTAACACCCCTACTAGAGCCATGGGATTTTTAATGACCACAGAGTCAGGACACCCGTTTAACGCCCCATCCCAAAGACAGCACACTAAGCAGGGCAATGTCCCCTTCACTGCATGCAGGGCCGCCAGTTTGGGAACCCTGCCATAGACCAAGAAGGCTGTTCCACTCATGTATTCCTTGGGGAATTCACTATGCCAGTAACCAGTCCAATATGTGAACGATTCCATCATTGAGATACAAAATGAAGCAATAACATGCAACATGTACAGTAGGAGGGTCTTTGCGTTCTAGCTAGCATAGCACTAACCACCCTGGGTACTTTTCTGCCCTTCCCATCCTCCTGAGCTCTCTCCAGGTCACCTGTCTCAAACTGTGATCTAACCACATTCCACAGAGAATTCTTGGTTATTTTCTAGCCTCTCATTTTGTCCTTTATGTGTGTGGTGAGTGGGAGGTGCCAACATGTGGCTATGAGTACATTGATTTTTAACTATTTGTTTGAGTGTATTCAGGTCAATGTGAGGATACATATGTAGAGTGGCTTTGTGTCAACATCGAATACGATGAGTGAGTGTCTGTGTGAGTCTATGAGTGTATATTTTTGTATGTTTTGTGTATTAATAGCTACAATTGTACTTTGACACCCAGGACCAGTTCAGGACCAGTTCAGGACCAGTTCCGGACCAGTTCAGGACCAGTTCAGGACCAGTTCAGGACCAGTTCCGGACCAGTTCAGGAGGTTCTAAATCTGGAGCAGTGGCCTTCCTTGCTCCCCAACAGACAACGTTGAAAGTTGCATGAAGATGCCATGTTCACTAACACAACACAACATAATGAGTATCTATTTTTCTTTTTTCTCCCCACATTTATTCGGTACATACAGCAACAGTGACATACCAGGGACCCCCCATCGCTACTGTGGTGACATCCTGACCTGTGGTGACATCCTGACCTGTGGTGACATCCTGGCATGTGGTGGCATCCTGGCCTGTGGTGGCAACCTGGCATGTGGTGACATCCTGGCCTGTGGTGACATCCTGGCCTGTGGTGGCATCCTGGCCTGTGATGGCATCCTGGCCTGTGATGGCATCCTGGCTGGCCTGTGGTGACATCCTGGCCTGTGGTGGCATCCTGGCCTGTGGTGGCATCCTGGCATGTGGTGACATCCTGGCCTTTGGTGGCATCCTGGCCTGTGGTGGCATCCTGGCCTGTGGTGGCATCCTGGCCTGTTGTGACATCCTGGCCTGTTTTGACATCCTGGCCTGTGGTGACATCGTGGCCTGTGGTGGCATCCTGGCCTGTGGTGGCATCCTGGCCTGTGGTGACATCCTGGCCTGTGGTGACATCCTGGCCTGTGGTGACATCCTGGCCTGTGGTGACATCCTGGCCTGTTTTTGATATCCTGGCCTGTTGTTTACATCCTGGCCTGTGGTAGCATCCACTCCAGTACCTAGAGGGTGCAGAAAGAAATACCAGTGACCTTTCAACATTCCTGCCTCACTTTAGAGTAATCCATTACTTCTAATTAGATTAAACCTGATTCATTTCCACCACATTTCCTTCACTGAACCCTTTAAAAACAAAGAATGACAGAATGGGGGTTTGTCCTGTAGATTCATTGGGATAAAGTTAATTAGAGCATTGCTCCAGACCCTCTGGTCCCTTCCCCTGCGTTGTATCCCAGGTGATTAGTCAGAGGCGCAGGACACTCTCCGACACCCAAAGGAAGGCCCCTAAACTCTGAGGCCATGCACAGAATGGACTCTATACACTGCCCTGGCAACGGCCACAAGCCTGCAGAGACCAACTCCTCCAGAATACTAAAGACTGAAGAAACAAGTCTAACTGCTGCTTTTTACTGAGAGACCAATTTGGTTGATTTGGTGCTGAAGTTTTATTGTTTTTTATTGTTATTGCTAAGTTTGTCTATTTTTATTGATGTGTGATGTCATTACATGTTGTTAAAAATCTATGAGAAACCGTAGGCTAATCTGGTACGTAGCAAAACCAAATTCTGCATGCCCACTGGGCACAAATGTCAATTCAACGTCTATTCCACGTTGGTTCAACGTAATTTCATTTAAATAACGTGGAAACAATGTTGATTCAACCAGTGTGTACCAGTGGGAGGCTACATCCAGTAGAACCAAGGACACTATGCTGTGCCCTCAGGCAAGGGGCTTAACCCAATCTGCCTCATTAGGTAGATAATACATACAGTTGCAAGCTAGGTGACTTGCCCTGGATAAGAGTGAATGTGCCAAGTATACAACTAAATTGACAATGTTATCTTGGTGCACCAGACCTCCCCTTCCTTTAGTGTATCAGTGGAGAAACAGAGAGAAAACAAAGCAACAAACGGTGATGAGGAACTAATCAATGTCATCACCAGCGGCTCCAGGGCCACGTCCCCCTCCCCTCGATGGCACGTTGGTTCATCCTTATCCAGGGCCACGTCCCCCTCCCCTCGATGGCACGTTGGTTCATCCTTATCCAGGGCCACATCCCCCTCCCCTCGATGGCACGTTGGTTCATCCTTATCCATGGCCACGTCCCCCTCCCCTCCATGGCACGTTGGTTCATCGTTATCCAGGGCCACATCCCCCTCCATGGCACGTTGGTTCATCGTTATCCAGGGCCACGTCCCCCTCCCCTCCATGGCACGTTGGTTCATCCTTATCCAGGGCCACGTCCCCCTCCCCTCGATGGCACGTTGGTTCATCCTTATCCAGGGCCACGTCCCCCTCCCCTCCATGGCACGTTGGTTCATCGTTATCCAGGGCCACGCCCCCCTCCCCTCGATGGCACGTTGGTTCATCGTTATCCAGGGCCACGCCCCCCTCCCCTCGATGGCACGTTGGTTCATCGTTATCCAGGGCCACGTCCCCCTCCATGCATCAGTATCCCCTTTGAAGCAGTGCCAGGGAAGGGACAACCCCAAAAAGAGCACACAGCAGCAGAAGGAAAACAAAGAACAACCAGCCTCGGATGATGCCGCCCACGATGGGAATCTGACCCACTTACCCATTATGCCTCAGGGCTTCAATGGAGGGGACCATCCTGTGCTGCCATGGCCAGGGAGCCAGCGTGAGAACAAGCTCTACAGGGGAGACGAGACGGCCCAGCGAGCCTGGGCATGTAGGGGCCACCATGGCAGCCTCAGTTAATGCTGCTCCCAGAGATAGGCTGGGCCTCCACTCTCCTCGACCCACATTCCTTAGCAGGAGAATGTACTGTACAGTCTGATAAAACATCCTGATTCTCATGGCTGACTGAGGCAGCAGACTACACTGACGTGTGGAAGAAGATCAATAGCCATTACCCTGACAATAGACCCCTGATAGGTTCTGTCTGTCTCTGGGATGCTGCCTACAGTCTGTAGTCAGGGTAGCTCCTCCGTAGCTCAGCTGGTAGAGCACGGCGCTTGTAACGCCAGGGTAGTGGGTTCGATCCCCGGGACCACCCATACACAAAAAGAATGAATGCACGCATGACTGTAAGTCGCTTTGGATAAAAGCGTCTGCTAAATGGCATATTTTTTATTTTACAGTGTTTTCCATCAGCTTCTCCTAACGGAGATTAAAAAAATAATCTGTGGTAATTTGATGCATGCTGGATATAGTGTACATTACACAATGTGTGATGATGAGTTGTGACTTATGTCATAAGGTCCTGGAAAAAGAGGAAGTCATTAATGCATGGGTTGGTGATCCAGAATGGTTTAGGTTTAATTTATTTGCACCAAAGAAAACAAGTGATAAACAACAATACAGATAAAGACTAATTAAAACAAAAAAAATGGTGTGCAGGTTGGAAGCCCAAGGACTTAAATAAAAATCACACCACAAAAGAACACTATATAATACATAAAGTACAACAATAAAAAAGGTTTGTTAAAACAGATAACAAAACCCACTAATCGTAAATGTACAAATGAACCGATCATGGTTGACATCTCCCCCCGATGTACACAGATATCTAAAGTATCTGTATTCATTCAATAAAACTGGAGGTTGACACGAAAAAAAAAAAATACGAATTCTGTAAGCGAAGTGAATAAAACAAAAGCAGTATTTTTTTTTATGAATAAAGGACGTCACCAGATAATGGGGAACTTTAGAGCAGCCGTTACACTGAAGAGACATCAGTAACCAGCGGATTGATAATCTATTATCTCTTCATGGGTCAGAGGGATGTGCTAGTGAGGCCGGTTTCGGGATCTGCCGTCAGGCGTTAATTCCTCCTTCAATTCTAATTTCTGCCTTTTTCTTTTCTTTTTATTGTTATGGAAGAGACGATAGAAAGGTGAACAAAGAATTAACGTGTTAACCTCTGGAGAGAGAACGTCCAGCTGTAATGGGGGAGGCAGTGGGAGACAGGAGGTCAGCCAATAGGACAATAGGGGCATCGACTTGGGGGTGGGGTGGATTTCATGAAGGAATCAGGGGGACACGTGCCGACCTGTTTGGGGGAGTTTTTGTGTGTGTGTTGGTGGGGGTCCATGGCCTGTGATGTTTATGTTAGCTCTATGTTTTTGTCCTCCCAGCTGTTATGGTCATGTCCAACAGCTTATGTAACCTGCGTGTCAAGAAGAAACCCCAAAACCCCTACCAGACTACAAACACAAGATCCCTACAAGGCTGACTAGAAAATGTTGTATACCATATTGGTAAGATAATGTATTCTAAGTATGCTTCAATAAGATGCAGAACCTGGTATTTTATCAGTGGTGTAAAGTTACTACAGTTGAAGTCGGAAGTTTAGATACACTTAGGTTGGAGTCCTTAAAACTCGTTTTTCAACCACTCCACAAATGTATTGTTAACAAACTATAGTTTTGGCAAGTCGGTTAGGACATCTACTTTGTGCATGACACAAGTAATTTTTCCAACAATTGTTTACAGACAGATTATTTCACTTATAATTCACTGTATCACAATTCCAGTGGGTCAAAAGTTTACATACACTAAGTTGGCTGTGCCTTTAAACAGCTTGGAAAATTCCAGAAAATTATGTCATGGCTTTAGAAGCTTCTGATGGGCTAATTGACATAATTTGAGTCAATTGGAGGTGTACCTGTGGATGTATTCCAAGGCCTACCTTCAAACTCAGTGCCTCTTTGTTTGACATCATGGGAAAATCAAAAGAAATCAGCCAAGACCTCAGAAGTCTGGTTCATCCTTGGGAGCAATTTCCAAACGCCTGAAGGTACCACGTTCATCTGTACAAACAATAGTACGCAAGTATAAACACCATGGGACCACGCAGCCGTCATACCGCTCAGGAAGGAGATGCGTTCTGTCTCCTAGAGATGAACGTACTTTGGTGCGAAAAGTGCAAATCAATCCCAGAACAACAGCAAAGGACCTTGTGAAGATGCTGGAGGAAACAGGTACAAAATTATCTATAGCCACAGTAAAATGAGTCCTATATCGACATAACCTGAAAGGCCGCTCAGCAAGGAAGAAGCTACTGCTCCAAAACCGCCATAAAAAAGCCAGACTACGGTTTGCAACTGCACATGGGGACAAAGATCGTACTTTCTGGAGAAATGTCCTCTGGTCTGATGAAACAAAAATAGAACTGTTTGGCCATAATGACCATCGTTATGTTTGGAGGAAAAAGGGGGATGATTGTAAGCCGAAGAACACCATCCCAACCGTGAAGTATGGGGGTGGCAGCATCATGCCCTGGGTGTGCTTTGCTGCAGGAGGGACTGGTGCACTTCACAAAATAGATGGCATCATGAGGAAGGAAAATTATTACATTTACATTTACATTTACGTCATTTAGCAGACGCTCTTATCCAGAGCGACTTACAAATAGGGGGGGGGGGGGGGGGTTTGGTAGAAGGATTACTTTATCCTATCCCAGGTATTCCTTAAAGAGGTGGGGTTTCAAATGTCTCCGGAAGGTGGTGAGTGACTCCGCTGTCCTGGCGTCGTGAGGGAGCTTGTTCCACCATTGGGGTGCCAGAGCAGCGAACAGTTTTGACTGGGCTGAGCGGGAACTATGCTTCCGCAGAGGTAGGGGAGCCAGCAGGCCAGAGGTGGATGAACGCAGTGCCCTCGTTTGAGTGTAGGGACTGATCAGAGCCTGAAGGTACGGAGGTGCCGTTCCCCTCACAGCTCCGTAGGCAAGCACCATGGTCTTGTAGCAGATGCGAGCTTCAACTGGAAGCCAGTGGAGTGTGCGGAGGAGCGGGGTGACGTGAGAGAACTTGGGAAGGTTGAACACCAGACGGGCTGCGGCATTCTGGATGAGTTGTAGGGGTTTATGTGGATTATGTGGATATATTGAAGCAACATCTCAAGATATCAGTCAGGAAGTTCAAGCTTGGTCGCAAATGGGTCTTCCAAATGGACAATGACCCCAAGCATACTTCCAAAGTTATGGCAAAATGGCTTAAGGACAACAAACTCAAGGTATTGGAGTGGCCATCACAAAGCCCTGACCTCAATCCTATAGAAAATGTGTGGGCAGAACTGAAAAAGCGTATGCGAGCAAGGAGGCCTGCCTACATTCAGTGGGGGAAAAAAGTATTTAGTCAGCCACCAATTGTGCAAGTTCTCCCACTTAAAAAGATGAGAGAGGCCTGTAATTTTCATCATAGGTACACGTCAACTATGACAGACAAATTGAGAAACAAAATCCAGAAAATCACATTGTAGGATTTTTAATGATTGTATTTGCAAATTATGGTGGAAAATAAGTATTTGGTCACCTACAAACAAGCAAGATTTCTGGCTCTCACAGACCTGTAACTTCTTCTTTAAGAGGCTCCTCTGTCCACCACTCGTTACCTGTATTAATGGCACCTGTTTGAACTTGTTATCAGTATAAAAGACACCTGTCCACAACCTCAAACAGTCACACTCCAAACGCCACTATGGCCAAGACCAAAGAGCTGTCAAAGGACACCAGAAACAAAATTGTAGACCTGCACCAGGCTGGGAAGACTGAATCTGCAATAGGTAAGCAGCTTGGTTTGAAGAAATCAACTGTGGGAGCAATTATTAGGAAATGGAAGACATACAAGACCACTGATAATCTCCCTCGATCTGGGGCTCCACGCAAGATCTCACCCCGTGGGGTCAAAATGATCACAAGAACGGTGAGCAAAAATCCCAGAACCACACGGGGGGACCTAGTGAATGACCTGCAGAGAGCTGGGACCAAAGTAACAAAGCCTACCATCAGTAACACACTATGCCGCCAGGGACTCAAATCCTGCAGTGCAAGACGTGTCCCCCTGCTTAAGCCAGTACATGTCCAGGCCCGTCTGAAGTTTGCTAGAGTGCATTTGGATGATCCAGAAGAGGATTGAGGGAATGTCATATGGTCAGATGAAACCAAAATATAACTTTTTGGTAAAAACTCAACTCGTCGTGTTTGGAGGACAAAGAATGCTGAGTTGCATCCAAAGAACACCATACATACTGTGAAGCATGGGGGTGGAAACATCATGCTTTGGGGCTGTTTTCTGCAAAGGGACCAGGACGACTGATCCGTGTAAAGGAAAGAATGAATGGGGCCATGTATCGTGAGATTTTGAGTGAAAACCTCCTTCCATCAGCAAGGGCATTGAAGATGAAACGTGGCTGGGTCTTTCAGCATGACAATGATCCCAAACACACCGCCCGGGCAATGAAGGAGTGG